TAACATGGACTCAAAGGGAACTAAAGTTCATATCTCCAAATCCAAGCTTTACATTTAGTAGTTTTTAAAGTGATAACAAGTAAAAAAAAGAGTAATGGAATTCATGAGAAACAGAATTAAGTCACCAAAACAGAATGGAGGCACAGACTTTGGACTTCTTTAAACTCAGAGAAAGCAGATAGACTTGTCCAGAGAGCTCCCTGGGAAATCTGACTCCTATTCACCAGAGGGCGGCACTGTAACCAGAGAGTCAGGAGGAGAAGGGATACCTCTGAGAGGAGAGGGAGCAGTTGGCACCGAGGGAAGCTGTTGGGGAAGAGGCAAGGGACAAAGGAAAGAGAATCCAGATGACAGTGGAGAATGGAAAGAGATTCTGAACAAAAGAAGTTATATCCCAAAAGAAGACTAATTCGCATAGCCCTGTTTCTCCAGTTCCTCCTTTACGATTATAAAACTTGTTGTCAATAGCTCTACCTAAATGGAAAGGCAATAGGAACTGCAGAATTGGCAAAACTATTTATAAAAGAGAGACGAAAAGCAACCTCTCTTGGGCCCATTGGTAGAGTTTAGTCTTCCTGTTAGACAATAAAGTAATGCAAAATTATTGAGAAGCCTCGGGGCTTTCCATGAGAGAACAATGGTGTCCATGCCCACGTAATCCACCCGTGTTGTTTCAGAGAATGCAGCCCTCAATAGATTTCCCTTGCCCTTCAACTCTATCCTCATTCCCTCCCCGCTTTTGTTTATGTTCCTACCTGAGCCACACTGTTCAAGGCCAGTAGGGACTTCCTGAGTGGCCATCTCATCCCAGAAGGGGTAGAGAGGTCTTTGCTGGTGATAACTGGACTGGAAACCACAGGTCATTCGAGGATCTTCAAAAGTGTTGATAGGCCCCTGCCTCTGTGACCAATGAAAATAAACCGGCATGTATTAGGAGAAAAACCTCTGTGACCAATGAAAATAAAACAGCATATATTAGGGGAAAAACCTCTGTAGTTTATCTTCAATGGAACTATGATTTCATATCCTCCAATCACATACACACAGGATCACCCGTAGATAATAGAACCTGCCATCGATTCCATCCCATTTTTCCCTCCAAATTCAAAGGGAATGAGAGAAATTTCTGATTTGGACTGAGTTCATTTCTTCCACCTATTGAACATATTTGAGATTCTGCTTTTCTGACCTTCAAATAGAGTCCTGGTTTACATCAGGGCAGAATATTGACAGATTAAATTTATATAGTCTAGGTTGTTTTAAAATTAATGTTATCTCATGGGGCTGGAGAGATGGCTCAGCAGTTAAGAGCACTGCTTGCTCTTGCAGAAGACCTGGGTTTGGTTCCCAGCATCCACATGGCAGCTAACAACCATCCATATCTCCAGTTCCAGGGGATCCAAAACCTTCTGACCTCCACAGGCATTGCACAACCAAGGTGCACTTACATCCATGCAGGCAATACGCTCATATAGATAAATTTTTTAAATAATAAATAAAATATTTACATTGTTATCTCATGCATTAAAAATACCATGAAAGAATATTCTTACAGTACAGCCTCGTGTCACAGAACAGGTGACAAATGCCATGGGAAAAGAAAACATGTATTTACATTATAAAACTCACTTCATTTTTCAGTTAATTATAGAGATAGGTTTTGATGACATCAGTTGCTAGATAAGAACTATCCATTCCTTCTAATACTTGGGTATTTGTGCCACCTTCTTATTAGTTTTATGAAAGTCATAAAACATACTACATTGTATGAGGAAACAAAAAGTGGTATGTAGAAAACAGCATTTTACAGTATTAAAAGTCTATCCCTTAAAGCCAGGTGAGTTCTAGTATACGTAAATTCAAACCCTGGCTCTACCACTTACTCATGGGAGTACTGTCCCTTAACTTAAACCCCAGTTTGTTCATTCATAAAATGGGAATAATAACACTTACTTCATAAAGTAGGAAAAATCAATTAAATAATGCATATAAGAAAATTATACATACAAAAAAAATAAATATAAAATTTGTTGAAAAAATTATGTATTTATGAGGTGCATGTAATAAGTGCTATATATGAAACCTTGTCATCAATGCAAGGTAACATGAGAGACTCAGCCTGGCCTGGTGACACAGATCTATAACACCAGCTACACAGGTGGCTGAAGCAGAAGAATAGCAATTGGAAGTCTGTCTGGACTCCAGGAGGCTGAGGCAGGAACATGGAAAGTTTGAGGACTCACTAGGCTATGGAACAAGTTCAAACAACTTAGAGAGACTGTCTCAAAGTAAAAATAAAAATTTTTAAACGGCAGTGATATGAGAGAGTGCTTGTCTAGCATGCCCAGAGACCAGGTTCAATCCCCAATACCACGTAGGGGAGGAGGCACAAAACAGAAGATGATGCCTGAATTCTGGCTCCAAATCATTATGCTGACATCTTGTGTTCAAACCATGAGCTCTTAAAACAACTAGATAAAGTACTTTTTGTTGAGCTCCCAACTATAAGCAAGTCCTCCAAGATCCTTTAAAATAATCAATTTACAACACATTTTCTAGATCTATAAATCAAGGTGTTTTCAATATCTACCCCCTTTTTTCTATTCCTCAGATCTCTCAAAATTCACCGTCAATAGTAATGATCAGATACATAGAGATTAGAGACACGTGCAAACATCTAAGTGTTAGTAGCATTAAAAATGAATTTCTTCTGTATGAAACAGTGTATTTTAAAATTAAATGGAGAGCTTTTTTTAAAGGTTAAAACCTCATTCAATTTTATATCTTATAGAGTTTATACTGAGTTCAATATTGTATAACTGTATTAATTCCACTATGAACCTAAAACTTTACAGCCAATATTGAAAGAGATGCGTCTTTGCTCTGGAAATTGTTATTGAATATGTCAATGCTGCAATGAAATGCTTCTCCTAATCATGTGGTTATTAAATAAATAAGTTTTTAAAATTCACTGTCAAGTACAGAGTTGTAGGAATAGTCACCAAGGAGGAAAATCAGGTCTAAGTAGAATGAAGGAGAACTTTAACTTACTTGCATCTGCCTTCTTTGGGGGTACAGTGTTGAGGATTTCTCTAAAGCAGACCCTTGCAGGATGATGGTAACAGGCAGTAAAGGTGGGATTCTTAGGTGACTGCAATGGGGTAGGATAAGTAGGATCTTTGTTAAGAGGGCAGCAAGCAGAGTCAGTGGAATCCTTACAAAGTAAGTAGTTACAGTCCTGCTCCAGTGGAGGATAACTGAGAACAGAAGTTCAGTTTAAAAGTATGCAGAATTTATTTGCTATGGCGAATCTAACAATGGCAAGGTGTGCTACCCAAAGAGGCAGTACAGGAAGGGAGCTTGAATAGTGTCCAAAGGAGAGGATGAAGGCAAAAAGATCAGATCATGGAAAGGGTATCAATAAGGAGCTTTGGGGGCAGCGTGATGACAGTTTAGTTACACTGTGGGTAAACATCATATTTGTGTAACACCCGTTATCAATCTAGTTTTATGTGGTTCACTTTATTTTTCATAGAGCCTCTTCTTTCCCCAAAGAGGTTTTCTGTCAAAAGGGATTAATTTTTTTTTTATTCTTAAAAAGAAGCTGGGGGAAGGTGAACACCAAGATGACACATTGGATAGAGGTTTTTGCTGCCAAGACAGATGACCTGAGTTCGGTCTCTGGGACTTACATGGTAGACAGAGAGAATCAAATCCAAAAGTTGTCCTCTAACCTCCACACACATGCCCTGAGTACATACATACACACACACGCACGCACGCGCACACACACACACACACCACATACAATAAATAAATGAGTGTTTTAAAAAGAAACTGTAAGGCTTAGGAAATGGCTCAGTGGATAAAGCACTTGCTGCACAAACATGAAAACCAGAGTGTGGATCCCCAGTGCCCACATAAAAGCTGGGTGGGACACCTGTGATTCCAGGCCTCTGGAGGCAGAGACAGGGGATCCCTGGGGAAAGCTGGCTAGTCAGACTAGCTGAATTGGTGAGCTCCAGGTACAGAGAAAAAGTACCCTGAGTAGAAGATGGTGGAGGAAGATACCCCAATATCAATGCCTGGCCTCCACACCCACATGTATATGTGCATGTGTACCTGCACATACACATGTACCTACAGGCATGCAAACACACACACACACACACACACACACACACACACGCGCACATACCACACATACATACACATGCCAGAAAAAGGGAAAAAAACTGTGTTCTTCATACACATTTCTTCTGTGACTGCTCAATAATCCAGAGGACCATATTTTTAAGGGTAAGATGTTGTCCAAACGCACCATTATAAGCACAAGCATCTTTGCTGGCAGATGCTTCTGAGAAGCCTTTCATGGTCCTGTTATCTAAACACCTGCCCGTTTATTAGACATTTCATGAACTGACTTGATAGCCATTTCATAGAGTATGAAAATTACCTTTTTACTTAAGAGAACCACATCACCAATTCCAACTCATTATGAAACTGCCCCAGCTAAGGAGATAGAAGCAGGGTTTAGCAGGTTAGCAGGTCGAAATCTGTACAGAGCAGCCCCCACCTCACTGCCTTAAGGGGCATCACCTAAAATAAGCTCCAGCACAAGCCTTTTCATCTGTACCCTCCTTTCTTGGCTGCAAGTGGAGATGTGCCAATAAGAACAGAGCAACACACTCATTACTATCACAGTTTAAAGAAAGCCATCTGATGGTTTCTTCTCACTCGTTCATCTCCAGGTAGCTGCTGAAAGGAGCTGACATGCATCACACCAGTGCCAGCTGGCATGCTAGCCATCCTATAAGCACGGCCACTTTTAATTGCCATCACCATCCCTCAAGGCTAACATCCTTATCTCCGTTTTACAGAAGATCAAACTGAGATTGTAAGAAGAAAAGTAAATTTCCAAAGGCTACCCTGCTAATAGAATAATGGAGACATAATCCTAGCTTTGGTCTATTTGGTTTCACTGTCCTTTCTCCTACCTGTACAACATGAAACTATGTGGCTCAAGAACAGTTTGCTTAAAGATGATTGTTAGAAGCCACAAATGGTGGTGCTCACTTGTAATCCCAGTATTTGGGAGGATGAAGTAGGAGAATCTCTAGTTTGAGCTCAGCCTGGGCTATATAGCAAGAAAACACTGAAGGGGGAAAAACTGTTCCACAACAAGTGCTTAAATTATGGCAATGTGCAGTCACAGAACTAATATACACGGTGCACCTAGTCTAAGCCAAGTATTACAAGAGATGCTAAGAATACAACGTGACCAAGAAATGAACTGCACCGTTAGGCGCATACAGAAAAGTAAACAGGAAGTCACAGTGAAGGGTGTGACGGTATCAAACACCACCTCATAGGGAAGGGAAGAGCAGACTCTCTAAAGAAAGCTACTAGGATGAGAATTGTAGGTTAAGACTGATCTTGAACATTAGTAAATGACCAGGAAATCAAAAGATAAAGATGGCATGCCTAAAGGGAAAGAAAACCATGTGCATCTACCGGAGGAATGAAAAGAGTTCAAGCAGGTACCATAGAAAGATGGAAACTGGTGATCGGTGGGGACAAACCTGGGGGAAAAGCCTTATCTCAGGCACCCTATAATGGGGTGGTAAGTGGGAAGCATTAAAGCTGAGAAACCATGTAAGATCAAGCAGTGAATGCCAGATGGCAACTTGAAAGTTGTATATGTGACATGCTAACTCAATACATTCTGGAAAGACTTACTTGACTGTGCTAAGTAGGATGGCCTGGGCAAGAGGAAGTAAAGATGTAGAATAGTGGTAGAGAGTCCTGCCGAGCCACGTGGGGAGCTGAGGCAAGAACATCGGTCAGTTTTGACCCAGGCCGCATTTTTATTTTAAAATAAAACAAGTAATTAAGTAATT